ATCTTCAGCTGGATGCCTCATCTGGAATTAGGAACTCCTGGACCCAAAGGAGGAGAGCAAATCACAAAATCAGGAGCAGTTCTCAAATGTTATGAGTCCCTCAGGATTTGGCCAGATTGATGTGAAGGATTAGTTGTTTACTTGAATTCACTAACCCACAATGACTCAGCTGGATGCCTCATCTGGAATTAGGAACTCCTGGACCCAAAGGAGGAGAGCAAATCACAAAATCAGGAGCAGTTCTCAAATGTTATGAGTCCCTCAGGATTTGGCCAGATTGATGTGAAGGATTAGTTGTTTACTTGAATTCACTAACCCACAATGACTCAAATATAACAAAAGTTCTGGTTTTCTTGCAATCTAGTCACAATTTACCGCTTCCCTTCTTTGTGTTAAAACTGATGTCTCTGGTGCCACCACCATAAACACACAGGAAAAATCCCATTTAATTTCAATCTGAAAATAAAATAATAATTTCAATTTTATTATCTATATTTCAAGAACATGATTCTAACATTATTTTATCTTTCTTGTGGTTTAATTCTTGATTTATCTTAGTTAATTCTACTATCTCAAGCTGTTCTGTAAGGGATAACTATAGCTTCAGTTATGGAGATATCTACAGTATATAGTGGAATTAGAGAATTTTCTGAGGTGACATTAGACTGAACTGACAGAAAATATAACTGAAAATCTTCCAAAGTTTATGGATAAGCTTCTCCTTTAATGGACTTATTTATTTATATTAAGTAGCATTTGGCAACTACAGGAATGGCTATAAAATTGTTCTAATGGGTTTCCAGAGCAGCTCCTGGGTGGGTGGAGTTGCGGATGTCGGAAGCTTGCTGTTCTCTGCTCCTTTTTTGCCATGATCTCAGCTTATCATAGGTGTGATTGCACTGCTAACTCTGCCCTGCAAAGTGTTGACTTTGGGGGGGCTAATAAGTATTTTTCTGTTTTCCCCCCATCTTAACATATTTGTCTCCCTTCCCCTGTAAAAGAATATTTGCCCTTCAGGACTGTATGGCATACAAATAATTAATGCTTGTCAAGGGAGGGAAAAGAAGAAAGGGGAGAAATCCAGCACACATCTAAAATGAAACTGAGAGTCACAGACATTTGGATAAAACCCAGGAAACATAAAAGTTACAAAAATAATTTCTATTTTCAGTGACATTGTAAACTAGGATCTGCCTCTTGTTCCTGCTTTTTTTGAGGAGGTTGTACTACATAACTGAAGAAGTTTGGGGTTTTTTTACATTGAACTTTAGAGACTTTGTAGAACAGAATATCTGTCTTTTTGCTTCACATTGTTTCTCTGAGGGGTTGCTACAAAAGGAAGCCAAACCTCTTTATGCCAGGAACTGCGTGTCATTTAAGTTATCTCCTTCTATCCATAGTACTGTTCTATAGACTGAAATAAAAAGTAGATAAAAAGAGCTGGTACCATTAAATGAACTTGCTCAATCTCTGTTTTTCTGGGAAAGAGGGACAGAGGGGAAGGTCACAGTTGTTTATGTCCTAGAGCTACTCAATTTTTCGTTTACTTGTATTCAGTACAGTACTGAGACTGAAAAGTTAGGGATCCTGGAAAGAAAAGGAGTCTACAAAAACACAGGCAAGAAAGAGAAAGAAGAAATGAGGTAAAATGGAGGGGAATACACGAAGAAGATGAGGTGAACAAAAATGTTACGAGTGCATCTATGTGGGTTGTGAGTTATTAAAACACTTCCCTTCTCTCTCCCCTCTCAAAATTATTCCCAAACTTTCTATTAAATGAATACATTCAGCCACTGAAATTTAGGAATTACCATGATAAAGAATTAAGGCTCATCGCCAGCTGTGCCATCCCTGGTGTCAAAGCTGTATGGTATGCCCTTTAATTATATTGAATCTTGGTAATTTTTTCCACAAGTTTGTTATGTTGTCTAATGCATTGCATGGGATAAAGATCACAGGATGGTTGAGGTCCATCAACCTGACAATGAAGATAGTCAGTGGTGACTTCCATTAATATACATGCATAATCCTTATTATTCGTTATTATATTGCTATTCCCTTTCTTAAGGGAACCTCAGAGTGATTGGGGCTGGAACTACAGTGTTTCCAGTAATTTTAAATGTCTGAACTGAGACACACAGGATCTGAATTTTTAGGCGTGCTGGGTCCTGCTAATGATCTTTCAGTCACATCTGGTTTTCTGAGCAGTTAGGACTCTTGTCTTTTCTGTTGGAGATACGGACAGCAATTGTTTGAGTACAAAATGCAATATAGACAGCCAATACATTGGATCATAGTCCAACTGCTGAGCACATAAACAGTTCCCAATTATAAATGCTTCCCTTCACCTGGTACATACAAAAGGCTGACTTTGGCTCCATATAGCCTTCGTGATGCTTGTCCAAGCAGTCAGATAATAAGTTACTGCACATAAAGCTTTTGTTGTATGGGAGTCTTCTCTTCTTCTTCTCTTTTCCTGAGAAGTTCCCTGCTTCCCCAAGAGGGGAAGTGGCTGATGTTAGGTCCTCAAATCTCAAATAACTGGCTACTGAGCTTGGTGCATGCTGCTTTGGTAAAGTCAGTATTTTGACTTTCAGGTATTAAGGATACAAGTGTTTTTTAATTAGTTCTAGCTACTGGTCTTCAGATCTTTAGAAAACCAGACCTCAAAACCTCTGGAGCAGAGAAACTTTAAAGGAGGAATTTGAAGTAGCCACTAGAGGAAGTGTGATTTAAAAATAATTCCCTGAACCACAGAGTAACTATACGACACAGAGAAGGCATTTTAGATGCACACACTTTTCATTATGCTGCTTAGTTACTACCTAACCAGAAGTTAGCCCTTTCCTTTTCTTCATAACTAAGCCCAGTATACTTGTCCAATACTGTATTCCTCTAGCTCATCACACTCCCATCTGCTGTTTCTTCATGTGTTCCGTTCAGGTCAGAGATGGAAAAAAAACCCAGTTTTTCATTACATTGACAAGTTGTCATTCAGTTCCTGGGGAGAATTGTAGTATGATGCCAGTTTAACAGGTAAGGAGTTGTTTACATTTTCATATTGTTAATTGAATGTGTTTAATTGAGGGATACATTCCAAGACAAGTAAAAACAAGATTCCAGTCCACGAGACTTAGAAGAAAATGTGTTTCAAAATTACATGGTACCCTACCCAGATTTAATTGCTGCAGAAGTGAGATTGAACAGGTATCTGCAGCCTTATCTTATTATACCCTGTGTTCATAGAGCAGCAAAAGTGAAACCTCAGTATATAAAGTTCTTTGCATTTGCACCCTTGGTTTTAAAGGGAAGAAAATGTTAGACCTCTTCTTTGTGATTTTCATTTCTCATAGAGGAACACTGCATTTCTGTTAGACATTTGGCCTTGGTTTACATAGAAAGCCAGACTGGAGAAAGTAAAATTCTGGCTTTTCTTTTTAACGTATCCCGATGGCATAGTTACTTAATAACCAGTAGATACTTGGTCAAGTTAGGATTAGGATGGACAAATTCAAGGTATTAAGAACCAAAGGCTTTGCAAAAGTTCAGTTGAGCAAAATCATTTGGATGATTAAATATAAGTAAAAATACCATCCAGGGAACTACAAAGTATTACTAATCTATAGATACTGCAGAAAGGACAAGAATCCATATGGAAAACATCTGCCTACTTGAATAAAAAGGACAGTTGATTGGAGCAGTAGAAATATTAAAAGCATAGTTTAGTATAACTAAAATGGTACTGTGGCTTTTATTTCGTAAAAGCACATCTAAATTGTATTCTCTGTAAATTCACTTTCTGTCTATCCAAAAAAACCTACAACGTGGTTTTGATATTATACTGGAGCCACTTTTCCATATCCCCTTTGCCATTTCAGTTGACAGAGGTTGTAATTTCACCATGCTACCACCTGCAGACATTTCTCCTTTTATAATGTTGAAATTCCGGTTGTTAGAATACACTGAGCTTACGTTATCAGCCCTTCTGTAGGTAGGTTCTGTGATCTTCCACAGAACAAGAGTGGAGTTTTCTTCCTCTTCTATTGCATATTCTTTTTCTGCAGCTGCTCTTCCACATACAAGTCTTCCTGGTGCTGTTTAGCAGAGACTATTTCCAAAATAATACTCTTTTTTCCTTAAATGATGTGTTAGGGGAAAGGTAAACTTGCAAAAAAGAAAGTCAGACTCCTCTCTAACCTTACTGCAACAGGCCTTTAACAGCTTTTATCATTTCAGTATCAGAAAACAAATGTCAATATTAGAGTAACCTGAGTTTGACTTCACAATGCTGCTGTAAGGGGCAAATATATCATTATCTCCATTTACCTGTAGTAGACTGAAGTATAGATAGAATTTTGTGTATCTGGCCCAAGGTCATGTAGAAATGCTGTAGCAGAAGTATGATTAGATGCAAGATCTTCTGAGTTCTAGTCTAATGCTTAAGAGCTCTCCTTTCTGTGCTGTTAATGGTAATGGGAGGCATTTATACTTAGGTAGGAGAACACTAGCCAGAAGAAATGGTTCTTTTCCAAGCATGGCAGAAAATAAATTTTTACTGTTTGTGATAGTTTTTCTCAGTCATAGCATGCAGTTAGCTAAACTTGTCTGGATTTAACCTCAGCAACAAAAAAAATCAGAGGTTGCAAAGTGTAATTCTCCAGTCCTCGTACAGTTAGCATTGCGAGGTTCCAGCTTGCTGTTGCTTCAGTGTTTCTGAGTCACATATATTGTTTTAAAGTAGAGAGGAATTTTCTTCCTGCTGTTTTTGACTGGTGGCCTTTCTTTGGTCCATTGTAGCAATAAAATGTCAAGCTGGTTACCGGTGGTCTATGCATCAACAATGCACGTGATACTTACTGTAGACAGCTAATTTTCTCCTGGGCCACAAAAAGAGCCTTCTTGCTCTTCCGAAAGCTAAGAAAGAAGATAAACAAAAAAACCCTGATAAGTCAGTGTCAGAAAGATATGGCAAGAGGCGATGTTAGAGAAGTATATTCATTCTTTTGCTACTGTTTTCTGTTATCATTATTAGTTGTTTGTCTCTTTTCTGTAGCAGAGCAATGCTTCCAAGGCCTCTGCACTGCCAGAACTGCCAGAGCAGAGGGGGACACTTCATCAATTTATTTAATTTATTTCACTGTGTGCGCTTACTTCCATGTGGTCTCACAAAGAAAAGGACTGAACTATAACTTTCAAAGCTCAAATATATGCTTTCAGTGCTTATGCTTTTGACATCTGTATACTTCATAAAAATGCACAGTTTGTGTAGCCGAAGATATAGATGCAAGGCTGTCGCAATAGGAATCAGAATGGTAATTAAAATTTTATAAGAAAATAAAATCAATCTTAAAAGGGCAAAATATTTCTTTGAAGCTTCAATAGGTTACTTAAAAAAAAATCCATGAATATCACAGGAATCTCTTTGTATTGCAAAATATTGCCACTTAGCTGGAAATGAGATTTTTTATTCCAACACAATGATGCAGTTCCACTAGTAACACTGTGCACCAAAACATCTCTATAAGACACTTCTGAGATGTGATGCACTACTGAGGGGTGGGTTTGTTGTTGATTTTTTTATTTTTCCATTGTTCCACTGACACATTAAGTTCATCACTATGCTAAAATATTTCTCTTCATGAAATTTGGTAATGGTGACAAAGACAGGATGAAGTTCTTTGTGTAAGCCATCTCTTATAAACCTAATAAAGGTTGCTATAACCTAGTTGCTAATAAAACTCTACAGGAAATCAAATGAATCACACAATTTATTTGTCCTTGCTGAATACAGAAATGACATAATTCTTTTGTACAATAATGTTACCCAATAGATGGCAGCAGCATCTTTATAATGAAGTACTTTTTTAGCAAGTACAGAGACATTTGGGATGAATTTCAGCTTCAGGCTCTCAGTTGGCAAAAGAAATATGGAATTTTTTTTAAAGAAAGTAGCATTATAGGAAAACATAGTAGAGTGCATCTTTTTCTAATGGGACTTTTGTCAGTCCTACTTAATACAATCACAATTTTATTCACTGAGAGTGCTGCTGTTCTCACTAATCAAGAGGAAAAAGTACAGCTTCAATGATTCCAAATTGTCATTGATTCCTTACTGCAAAAGACTTTGTTTCTGTTTATTGAACAAAAGCTTAGAGGAAGTCTCAGCTCCATTATGAGAGTTAGAAGTATGTCTGTACACAATGCACATGGGTGTGAACACATATGAGTGTGTACATATACATGTGTGCAGCGCTCAAGCTGCCAATTGAGAAAAATCCATCCTTTTATATAGGAAAAAGTGTTTCTAAATATACTGTTGTTGCATAGCTATTATTTTGGAAAGATGAACAGATCTGCATATGAATGCATGTTCTCATGCTAGGAAAGATGAATCTATAAAGGTCTGAATTCTTGACATTAGACAAGGATGAACACCAAAAACATGAACACTTCAAAATCACCGATCACATAATTTATGAATAATTTATAACTTTGGCAACAATTGTTTCCTAATTTAGAAAAAAACAGAATGTTAGGTGACGGATTTTCAAGTTTTATTTGAAGAAAAGACTTCAAGTTCATTGAACATTCTGATTGCCAGCAATGCTACATTCAGAGCAAGACAGATATCCTGTTTGGGAATAAAAAAGGACAATTTTGTGATCACTTTTGAAATAATCTCCTTTTTCTCAGTTTGAAAATGTCATTAGTTCACTAGATGTTTATTTACTAGATGTAAGTATTACTGGTGCTTCTAATTTCTGATACCGAAAATAACAATGTGATCACTAGAACATGATGCCACAGAACAGTGTTTTCTATTTTCTCAGTAATAACCAGACTAAATAAGATAGACTGTCAGTAAAATAATCCTGCTTATACTTCAGGTAATAGCAGCTATATATGTATATCTTTATATGTTTTTTTATGATTTCTAAAATAGATCAGCATTTTTTAAAGACCGTAAAAGAAATTAAACTTTAATTTGAAAATTATATTACTCTCTATCAGAAGAGCAAAGCTTTCTGTTCAGCATATCCTATGATATTTTATATCCTCCCCCCACTGAAATACCTTGACTTTCAACAAGGCACTTTGCATTAAGCAGAGAAACCCCTATGCACCCATAATTACAGACAGTTGTTAATTATTGTTAAGTAGTGCATGATTTCTGAATAATTAAAGTAATGAAATCCATTATGCAATACTATTCTGATTCGAAAGAGGAATTTTAAAATTAAGATAATTAAGATGAAAACATCATAACCTCTCCTATTGACAAGTTAAATCACATAAAGGAAGGAACAGTTAGCTGAAGTTTTCTTTTCAAATGTTCTCTAAAAAATTGATGAGCTATAGCTCAGATTGAAGCTTTATGCTTAATTAGTCATGTATGGAATTGCTATGCAATTATTGTAGCAATCCATAAACTAACAGCTTATGGTATATTGTTAAGTTTAGAGTGTAAGTATAGGAAATAAAAAAGGCAATCAGAAGGAAAATTAGACTAAGATTTGTGAAATTTTACAGATATATGGTAAGGAACCTAATGACTCTGCCCATCTTCTAGGGAAGCTATGGTAAAATTTCTAATAAGTAATTGAAATGATAGAGCAACAGAAAGACTTTTATGTAGGAGTAGACTACAGTTCTTTACTGAAACACAGGGGAGGACATGAGCAGATGTGTTGGGGACTATTTGCAAATGTGCTTGCCTGGTTGTATTAGTTTGGTTTGAGGGGTGAGTCTGTCTCCTTGCACTCTCTATGACTGTTTTATAGAGGAGCAGTGGAAGACATGGAATGGGAGGAAATGCTTCATTGAAAGGAAAGGGAAAAAAGAATGGTATTGCCAAGACCATTTTAGCTCCTCAAAATGTCCCTGAATCAAGTGATAAAACCCCATTTGATTTCAAGAAGGTACAGTTCAAGATTTGTACCTGCAGTGGTGAGTCTTCCAAGAAACAAAAGATATGATGTAGCATTCTTTTTGTACAAAAAAAAGTGAGAGTAATTTCTTTAGTTGGCATTGATCCCACCAAATTTAAAGTACTTAATTGAAGATCCTAATTAAGAGTATAGTTGTCCTGGGTTCTTGTACAATCAATGGACAGAAGCTTCTAGAGGGCAATTCAAATCTTGCATCAACTCAGTCACTGCAGGAGAAGCAGTCTTTCTTCACTGTCTTAATCAGCTTTTTACTAACAAATGCTAGTTGTTTCACATTACAGAGATGGGGGCAGACATTTAGTTTCAAAAACTAAACTCTGAAAGCGGTTCATTTTTTCTCTTTGTGCCATAGCAGAATTTGTTCTTTCCTCTGTCTGCCTTTTCTACCGTCCTTTATGTTGACCTGCTCTTCATGAATATATAGAATATACTGATGAATATACAGGAATCAAAATTTTGACTCAGAACATGATTTCCAACAAAGAAAAAAAAAGTAAAAAAATATTACGACATCAGTCCCTTAACGCATCTGAAGTAATTGAGTCTTTTCTTGAAGACCTTTCAACAGAGGCATGAAAGGTAATGGACACCTACTCTCTGTCTTAAACTGAGCTCTCTCAGGGTATTTAATCCTTAAAACAATTTGTATTTCTCCTTGTTTTCTGGGAATATTGTTTTATATGCACACTGAATTCTCTCTCCCATTCACAAACATAACCTCATTACAGATAATAACCTGTGATGGACTTATTTGCTATTTTTGAGCAATTACTTTAATAATTTCTTGTGTACCCTGCTTCAAATTCCCTGCTGTTATCAAAGTCTAGAGTCTCAGACCCGAAGACAGGAACTGCAGACAAGATACTTGACAAGATATTGACATACATCTCGGCTGAATGTTCAGCTGGTGAGATCAGGAATTTTCTCTTTCCTGCCTTTAGCACCGAAAAAGTACTTTAGGTTTGATGTGAGGGTTTTGAACTGGTTGGACTAGGCTGGGCTTTCACTCTAAGGTCTAGTTCAGGTTGCTTGAAGTGGTACAGGCATATTTTTCCCCCTTACCAAAATAAAACCAACATAATTTTTACATGCCTGAAGGGTTGGATGTCTGACTCACAAACCAACCCATGTAATCAGCTTCAGAATGTAATAGCATTGTTCAAGTGACCAGGGATACAGACTGTAGGATTAAATAGTCAAATGCACATAACAGCTCACTTCACCTCTGCAATCAGACAGGTAATTATTATTTCTCAGGATGTCATAGTCCAGCATTTATAAAATTTAAATATTAATTTTAGAAGTCTTAATTATAGCAACCAGAATAGTTCTGTTCAAAATAGTCCCAAAAATAACCTAGCAAGAAGCTAATAGCAATTTATCTGATTGAGGAACAGGTAGAGGTTTAATTAGAAATGGAAAATGCAGTTTGCTTCTATTTGCATAGTAAGTAGGAAAAAATTTGCTCATTCGGGAGAAGTTTTTACTTGTTTTTCATTATTGAAATAATAGGTTATCAACAAATTCACAAAAAATAAGGTTCATTTGATGAACGTAAACATATGATTTGCATTGATATGTGCCTGATCCATATCTATTTTGTTTATCTATAAATATCAGGTAAATAGATTGCAGTATGTAAACAACTTTTTTTTACAGTCATCCTTTTTTTTTGATATATGGAAATAACATAATGTGCTAATTTGCTTCTCAATGGAATTCTAATTTTAATCACGTCCTTCACTGGCAAGTAAATAATATGTAGTTTTCTATTTTTGTCTCAAACAGTGGTCACATGCTGGTTCTGTGTCTGGCATGTCCACTGGGATTTCCTGTCTTCACATGGCTGCTATGGAGCTGTCTAAACTGACAGCAACCCAATTGAAATGTATTGCTATTGAATTTGATGTTATTACTAACAGCACTAAACTGGAAGACCATGCTATCATAAATACATAAATAAGGTTCATTGATTAATGCTGTAGAACTTAAAGACTGTAGCTGTAATCTGATGCAACTGTGACAGGTTCCATAGATCCTGCTGTGGAGACTTCACATAAATAGGCCAAACAAAACAAGAATGTCTGGTCCCTATTTCATGAAATGGGAAAACCAAGTACTATAAAATTTAAATAATTTGTTTCATATCTCAGAGAAGAACACTTCTTGATTCCTTTTGTAACTACATTGTTTCAGCTAATTCAAATCTTTTCCCCCTTTCATGCACTATATTGAACTGTCACTCACTTTCCTTCTTTCCTTGAGGAGCACAGAACATCAGTCCTTCCTTTCCTTCTCTTCTTTTCTCTCTTCCTCCCCCCCATGGCCCCTATTATCAAGATTTACCTATCTGGATGTTATTCACAACCCAGTGGCCCCTTCTCTGAGCTACCAAAGCTATTATATGTCTGAGCTATTGTGAGAATTGTTACAATACTTCCCATTATTCTTAATTTACCTTTGATGGATACAGGGAAACTGTTTTATGATATATATATCCAGTGTAGATGTTTGCTGTACAGTGGAGACAATACTTAGAAATTAGTGTTCAGAGCTCCCTGAAGAAAATGCATATTTATTCACCCATATTGCCTAAAGAGAAACTCTGTTTGAAGGAAAGTGGTTTTATTATTCTGAGAGAATTGTCTCAACTTAAAAGATTCACTACAGTGGGCTTGAGGGTAGGAAAAAGAAGACCAAGAAAATGAAATACTTTTTAGCTTGGCAGTTTTGTTATTTTCCTGTGATGGGGATTCAAGTATTTGTTCTGGGAAGTAATCACTAAATGTAAGGTAGAATAAAACTTGTGAAGTGTGATAGAGAACAGTGAGTGGGGGACATTGGAAAATGGAAAACTGAGGTTCAGTCTTCAAAATTAAATTGGTTTCTTTTTGTGTCCCAGAAGGCTGGGCCTTCTGCATTGCTTTTGTTCATCTTGGCCATAAATTTTGTTCTGGGTATGAGATATTTGGTGGATTTAAGTGGTTGTGTCTCTTCCTGAATGAACAATTTCTGATGAAAATGTTTAACTGAAGAATTTCTGACTGGCTGTAGACACTAGAAGGGGTTACTTCAGAACTGTACAATATCAGTACATAACCTGGCAACCTTGGCCATGCTCCTCCCTTAAAAAAACAATGGTCACTTTTTTTCTGCAGTTGAATTAATCAACAAAGGTTCAGTGGAAATGGTGACAGTAAATTGCACAAGCTCTGCATTGCCCCAATCCTGATCTAAATTAATCTTCTCTGAGCTATGTGTCCTGAATTTAGATCACTATACTGGCCTTTCTTGTAAATACTGTAGAAAATGTAGAATACAAATACTCCGTGGAATACAACATCAAAATAAATGATCTGTTGACTCATCTTTGACATAAAACTTGCCTCATAAAAATTGAAGGAACCTTTCATATTTTTTGAAATGGCTTCTTATAACCTCTGATAAATTACTCCCTCTTTCTGGAAGTAGAAACCAAGTGAATATTTTTGATTGCCATCAAAAAGTGGTATGCTTTACAATCTACACCATTGGTCAGAAAATCAGTTTAGGACTGAAAAAGTTGCATCTGTTACCAAGATTAGTTTATGTAGCTCTCACTTATGGTGGTATCTTATTTTATACAGGTGTTGAAACAACTCAGCAATGAAAATAGAGTAAATATACCATTAAGAAGAAAAAAGGGATAGTCCCCAAAACCCAAATGGCTTTCTCTGACAGTGCTGAATGTACCATCTGTTTCTATTGCATTATAAATTGATGTAGAAAATTGATATGCAGTGCTATTTCTGAGTAGCTTTTCATTTGCATTTGCTTTTGTTAAAAATAAGCCCAACTGAAAACCATCATGGACTTTACAAGGAAGCATTCAAACCAGCCTGGGGTGTTCCAGCCTGAGCCTGGACCCACAGCCAAATGATGCAGCTGCCCACATATGTATAGCATGTTAAAACACAACTTCTGATCGAGGCACCACATGGCTTGTCAGATGTTCAGGCTCCTGGTCAAAATTGTCCACTTTTATTTAGCACTTACATGTACTCATTATGATGACATAAGGGTAACCATTTGCCATGGTCATGATTGTGATTAATCTCAATGTAAATCACCATCCAAAGTAATATTTCTTCCTATGGCTAGAGGAAACTGAGTTACAGCTTTTTAACCCTTACAGGGTGGACATGGAATAGCCAAAGAGTTTGTCAAACCTAAACTGGTGACATATTGTCTATGTTGGACTCTATGATGGGTGAGAACAAACGTAAATTAAACTCCTTCCTAACATCCACTTCTTTCTTTGCATGACCTGTTTTGGAGAGGCTTAAGAGACAAAAGATGCAGGACCAGCTCCAAGAGGTACGTGTGTATGGTGCATATGTCTGTCTCAATGAGTAGATGTATTTGTGGAGCAAGTGTTTCCATGATTTTGCCTCACAGCACAAAGAGCTATGAATGTCTACTTTATTCCAAAAAGCAGTAGCTATCTTTCCTGTTCTCTAATAAATCTGAAATAAAATTTTTATTTGATTTAGTCCTCTCCGTTCATTGTTATTTTTTATTAGCTTCTGGAAGGAAGAGAAAGGAGAATTCAGTAAATATTACATTCGCTCAATGTGTATGTTACTGTACTATTTAAACATACCATTGAGTAGGGGTGTTAGAACCAGTGTGAATGTAAACCTTCCTGTGTTGTCTATTTGCATTTCTGGTACTTAGAAAATTTCATTGAAAGATACAATCACAGGCAAGGTTGAGCCCCTCTCACAATGATGGGATGCAAAGGATTGTCTGCAAAATTGCTGAGAAAGGTGGCAGTAATATCCACACCTCTGCAGACCAGCAGGAAAGATAATTTTGACAGCAGGCTGGTGGTATATAAAGGATGTGGGTTCGTGCTGATTTACCACAGGAAAATTTGGATCCATCATTCCACATTCTGGGCTTAAACAATCCACTGGAATCCACTGGGCATTAGACCCAGCTTGTGGTTCCCGGTTGGCAGGACAAGCAAGGAAAAGCTTAATTTGCCTTTCCTATGTTCTCTATCTTCTGCCTGTGTAGAGCTTAAATACCTGGTTTCTGGGTTGTTATGGTATAATGTCGCATTATATGTGTGTAAATATAGAAGAATCTTTCCAGAAGATTTAATCTGAGCAAGCAAGTGGTATGTTGCTCAAGAAAGCTTTGACACCTGGAAAGAGACATCTTTCCCAGGAAGAGTCTTAGGTGTTTTCTCCTCCTAAATTCCAGAGCAGCTGACTCCTTGGTATGAGAAAAGATAAGTCCTTGCAGCAATGTTTGAAGGCCCCTACAGCAGTCAGGTCAGGAAACGATAAAAGCCCTGAAAAGAGCAGAGGGCGTCTCTTTCCCAGGTCCGCCACACCTTGTGCCAAAATGTTAGTGTTCTTGGCTTTTGGAAATAAATCTCCCTAAATCCTTCCACTGCCTGGTATTTTGGGATACCTGCACATAATCTTTCTTCACAATGTAATAATGTGAAAATCCAGGTAAATGCATAAATAACAGATATTTGAAACTCACTGATTTCCATCCAGTAAAAGAGGCTGGTTTATTTCTCTATATTATTTGTTAATGAACTGGAACTTTTCCTTGTCAAATTCTCAACTGGTATTTGCTTGTCAGTCAAGCCACTGCTTTTTAAAATTTTGAGGTCATAGTAATCAAAATGTTCTGTATTAATGGCATTATATTTTTCCTTTATGTTGCTATGTCTTGCTGATAGGATGCCAGAGAAGGAAGAGATCAAAATTAACATATTCATTGAGAAACTGGAGATTTAAGCCTGCTATGCATTTACTCTAAGGAACCTGAAAGTATAGAAGATAGTGAATCTGGAAGTATAAATACAGAGAATACAAGATAAATTCAGTATTTGTTGTAGATATATAATGTTATTCTACCTTCTTGACAGATTAAGTCTAAAGGGTACATCTAACATTAAAAAAAGTATAGTCACTTTTTTCTGATTGTATCTAAAGTATCGGATGACAACATGAACATTACAATTAGGAAAAAGCAAAAGATACCATGACATAATGAAATTAGCATAGATGAATTGGTGATATAATTCAGACACAGGTTTGTGACAATATGAGGGATCTCAGCTGTTTGTCTGAAGGCTGTAATCCCAAATGTTGTTGCAACTCCTGTTGATTTTAATATTGCTTATGTGTAGCTGGGTCACTGTCAGCTTTTGTGCTACACTGAACTTGCTGCAGGTGTACTTTCAGAAACTTGTGCTTTATAATCTACTTTCTGGACAATAAGTGTATGGCAGCATCAGTGTCAGTCTATTTACACTGTATGAGATATATTCCTCCTTGGGAATTGTACAATCCAATTTCAGTCATATCTATAGGGACACGAGTGCTGTCTGCTGCAGAAAAAACTTGGTGATATTTCTGTCTGCTTGTAAAGCTGTGTCTCTAATGACATGCTGGGACCTACCTTGTGTCTTTACTGTGGCTTGCTCTTGCTTAGTTGCATCCCTTGAAGTGTTTGCACTGGCATATCTGAAAGACATCAATACCAGAGAAAGAACTGGGTTTTGTGTTGACTTCTCTTCCTGCACTTAATAGTGCTTTCTTTGTAGGTGCGCTGGGCAGAGGAAGCAAAAAACAACCTTAACCTTCAACCTTCTCTTCTTTAGGTTTTTACTTTTGCCTTATTTGAATATTCTGCTACCCAGGCTAGCTACTGCCTGAAAATGAACAGATTGCTTGTGATTTCCAAGGATCTAAGTCACGCTGCTAGAAACCCTCCAAGCGGACAATAGGACATAGATCTTGTGAACATTTAATTGAATCACATTTATTATATTAGTAAGTTTTCAAATGCTTTTGGATCAGAGAGCAGGAAAGTGATAAAAAGTGAAACTAAATAGTTCTGTTTACCGTTATGCATACCTGTCTGTGAGCTTTGAGGACCACCTAACTCCAAGCAATAAATGTGGGCCCAGACTGTACCCATGTTTAAATAAGTTTTAGATTCTTTTTCCTGTTTTATGCTGTTGTGGCAGTTTGAGCCACATTAGAAATCCAAAAATCCAATTTCCAGGCTTCCCCCACCCCTTCCCTCAATTTATCTCAACAGCGAAGAGAAAACTTTCAGGCAAGAGACTTCTATAGGGGAAGGGGGAAGCATATATACGTTTTATTTACACAAATAAATACTATACAAGCTAAAAGCAACTGTATATATATATAATTACACTTCTATCAGTCCCTTCAAAGCTCCTCCCTCAATTAGTCCAGGAGAAGCCTTTTCAGGCTGATAGGTAACGCAGTCTCTCTCTCGTGGGAGTGTTCAGGGAACCTGAAACACTCTCCCACTGACCTCTAGTTGTTTGCTGCAGTCTTTTCTTCTTCATGAAGTCCAAGATAGCTTTGAGTCCTTTCTCCTTGGTTCTGTGTCATTTCTGCTGTGTGATCTCTCTCTCTCTCAGTCTCATACCTTGGTTCTGTAGGCTGTTGTAATTCAGTCAGTTTATCATAGCATCTTCCAAGTCAGTTTTCGGCTGGCCCCGGTCAAAGCTCGGCAGGGCAACTCCCGAGTCTCTCTCTCTGGCCCGTCTCCAATTTCGCCTCGGATTCTTCTTCCTGACACCGAGCTGCTTTCAGCCCGTCCACTTTGGCTCCGCTTCAGTGCTGAGCCTTGGATCCACTCCCACTTAACAGTGAGAGAAAAAAGCCCCCTAGCCTTGGCCACAGGAAGCTCGGTCCAGTTATACACTGTCCTGAGCATCCCGCAGCTGCAGGGTGGGGAAGAGGGCCTAGCCTCCTCCCTCTTACCTCAGGTGTTGCGAGTCACGTCCCTCACAAACACTCACTCTAAATGCTGCCTCTAACTCTGGCCTAGGTAGAGCTGGGGGGGGGGAAGCCACAGGGCTCCCCTTCCCTCCCAGCCAGGAAGGAAGCCCAGCCAGCCCCTGGCCTTCTACACCTACACGCAGCAGCAGACACCAACAGATACTGCCAACAGCTTCCAGTGGCTATGTATATATGATTTTTCACAGGAGCGAACAAAACAAGTGGTGATTGGCCTTCCAGGGAACACTGCCCTGGCACCCAATCACTCTGAGCCCCTGACTCTCGGGGGGCCAATCTCAACCCATGACAGCCGTCCATTCCTTTAGAAGTAAACGAGGCATGTTTGGGTGATCATGGAGCAGGACTTCAGGTCTTCCCAAGAGGGTAGACTTGGGCTTAGGTCAGTATAACCAAAGATCACAGTCTTCACAAAGTCATACAATAACCAATAACTGAATATTGTTAAGAATTCATTTCACAATAGAGAGACAAAGTAAAACAGAAACTAAATTAATTTTGCAAGATCACAAAAAGAATCAGTGACAGAGATGTCAATGACATCAATGCGTAGCAGCTTTTTCTTAATATGAATGCTGTTCTGTCTTTTAACCTAGTACTCTCCTGAGATCATGCAATACTTGGTGAAAAAAACATTCAGCCATATTTCCTGTTCAGGATTTGTTGTTCTAAAAATGGTAGCCATGTTATATTAGAGACTCAGACTCTAATAGAGATTTTTCTTCTCACTAAAACAATTTTGATTCAGTGCTAAAGCAACATTATAATTGGTATTGATCCTACTGAACAACGAAAGTGTATATGTTTGTGGTTATCTTACCTATCAAAATATTTAGAGAAAAGAAGTGTGCAATCCTTGTAGTTGTTGACAGCAGCAACAGTAAGAAACATTGCTAAAACAGAAATTTTCATTGATCATTTATAAGCTAATATCTTATGTGTCAGTCACTCTTTCACTTCCAAGGTATAGATGTGGAGGGGTGGAAGTTTTGCTGCCGTCTGATGAGGAGCTGCTAATCTATTCCTCCCTGTTGCATGTGAGCTTCATCAGCTTCTGGAGCATTCAGCAGCTGGGAATAGCTGTATTTTCAGTGTTGAAAATACAAAATAATCAATTTTCCTTTTCAACAGGTGCCTTTTTTTCCATTGACCCTGCAAAGAATTGAAGAAATAAGATCTAAGGTAGATATATTTCGGGCTGAAAAAATGTCTACCATGTCCTTAGCCATTTTTCCAGCTCCTGAAGATATCGAGGCATGCATTCTGTCTCTCAAGACCAATATGATGACTCTCCAGCTAGCTAAGAGAATGCCACTTAGCACTGCAACTGGCAGGGGCAACCTAGGAGATAATGTCACAGCAATCTACTACTGCTTTGCTCCTGTAGAACTGACTCCGAAAAAGGGGAAGGTGTTTATCTGTAAAGTTTGAAAATCTTGTACTGCAGCCACACTTGTTCTGTGGAAGTAATGAAAAAAGATTTCAGCCCCGAAGGCTCTGAGAGCTGTAGCTTTTACAAGCACTAAGAGAACAGCATGAAGTTGAAATCTAGTCATTCTTAGATATGTTAGAAGCACCTTGCCTACTGGAGTGTCTTGTCAGACACTTATAGGTTTACTTGTTCTAAAAAACCAAGTGGGATTTTTTTTCTTTCCCCTGCATCAATATGAAAGAGGGATGTTGAACGAGGGAGAGGGAGAGTAGTTCTTTTGGCTGGGGTGATTGACACGCACAAAAGAACTGGCTGCACTCTGTATTCCAGACTGAAAAAGAACTGGCTGCAGTCTGTATTCCAGACTGATGGCCCTCAGAAGACTCCTCAGGATTGGAGGCAAGTTTTTTTTCTCTACTGGGGAAACGGCAGGCACTTCACTTTTGCCCTGACTCAGGGAGGGTGTGCATGTGGAGGGATTTTCAGTGTTTTTTTTTTGTTTTCGGCTGGGTCATCTGGCTGCTTCTGGCCCTGGTTTGCCTCTGTTCTTCTGTGCCCTGTTCTGCCCGCAGTCCAGACCTGCTGGGATTTCATTGGAGAGGCTCAGCCGATCTGCGAAGGAACCTTTGAGGGAGGAGGTCACCCCTTCCCTCCTCCGCTCCCATGTTTGGCAGTGGCTTGTGTGCATCAATGAAGGGGGGGAATCACGGCCAGAGCCAACCACTGACAGTGTGAGTATGTGGGAAGAGCCCCTTTTCCCCCATTTCCCCTTCCCCTTCTCAGTGGGGGGGAATCTCCATTTTGGCTTCTTCTGCGCCCTGGGGCCACCACATGGCGACTGCCAGGGCCCAACCGCGCCCCCTGCTGGCCAACACGGAGCAACTGCAGGCTCTGCTCCTCCAGTGATCCAACAGCGCCCCCTGCTGACCATGGTTAGAATTGTGGCAAAAAGCTGAAAGTACTGAACTGGTTTTTTGGAAGGAACTTTGGGTATAGAATTGTTGTTTAGTTGTTTTTGTGTTCTTTTGTTGTTCTATCAATACACATATATCCTTTAATAAAGAGCTGTTATCTTTTCTTTCTCCATGCTTCCCCAATTGAAGCCTCTTAATTTCACATTTACAGTTGCTTAGAGGGAGGACCTTGGTCTTCCTCAAAACTCATCCTCCTTAGCAAAACACTTCAGCCTCATTAAACTGAGACAACACTCTAGTAAGTTTTATGGAATTAGTTACATTTTCCTAATTTTTTTCTTTCTACTGTTGTAGGGAAGAACACACAAACAATAAGAGTAGTCTGTTACATGTGGGAAGAGGAAAGAAAATTACTACACATAGTTTTTCAAGGGGAAAACTTTATAACAAACAAAAAAGGGAGAAATTATTTCCTTGCAGATCTTTAAGTGCTGCATCTAAAAAGGAAGGGAAAACAACAGATTGTCTGTACCTCTTTAAATTTTCCCAAGATAATCCACTGAAAAAGAGTATTTCTATCTTCCAAATAACCTTATATAGATAGCAGTAGATTTTCAAAAATATGTAGATAAATATGAATTTTTCAATGACCATAGAAATGAAAGGATTACTAATCACTGTGTTTGTGATTCCTTTTCTGATGTTTAAACTTTGGGGAATAACTGATTAAATACTAAACTGTGTCACCTTGTAAGGACACTTTAACAAGTGTGTTTATCTTTCAAGGACATTAATGTGTATGATGCAAGGAAAACTACCTAATCTGAACCGTGAAAGTGCAGGCAGGTAAACACCTGTGTCTTCACTCTCTCCTTAAAAATAATAACTGGAGTCAATTTTGGAAAAAAAACCTCAGTAAAATCTTTCTGGGTGCTGAATGATAGACACAGCATTTAGTGGGGAAAATGCCAGATAACCTGAACAGTCCAAATAACAATAAAACCTTTATCAGAATAATGTTTATTCGATTTAATTTAAATTCTTTTGGGGTTAAATCCTGAATAACTGTCTTAACTGGTATTTTTATAGTCAGTCACTTGTACTGTGCTGAATAGTTCAAGTTAATATTTGAGTTTTATATGTCGAATATAATTTATCTTGAATAGTATGATCTTTCTCTTCACTATTTTGAATGGTCTATTATGATATTTTTTCAGTGTTTGATTAGGGGGTGTATGACACTGAATTCCAAACCTGTCACATTGCCTCTTTTAGGGATGATTCTGCAAATACTTACAAGCAGGCATCATTTATTCTGTGTAGTTCAGTTAGATGTGCTG